CCACTACATGTTTCCTCAAATAAGGGAACCAAAACTGTGTACAATAATCCACGAGTGGTCTCACCAATGCCTTGTATAGTTGCAACAAGGCTTCCTTACCTCAATATTCTATTCCTTTAGCTATAAAAGACAAACATTCCATTCACTTTCTTTATTACCTGTGGTACCTGCATGCTAGTTTTCTGTAACTCATGAACGAGGACACTCAGATCCCTCTGCACCAGCACACCCTGAAGTCTCTCCCCATTTAGATAATAGGTTGCCTTCCCACTTTTCTGATCAAAATGACCTGACATGTCAAACTCCATCTGCCACATTTTGGGCCCACTCTCAACCTATCCATATCCATTTGTAAGGTTCTTATTTCCTCATTGCAATTTGCCATCCCAACTATTTGTGTCATCCACTAATTTGGCTGTAGAGCCTTCCAACCCATATGTAGGTTATAATGTAGATTGTAAATAGCTAGGGTCCAAGGACCAAACACTGTGGCACCCCACTAGTTACTTCTTGACATCCAGAAAAAGAACATTTATCCTGATACTGTCTTCTGTCCATCAGCCAGTCACCTATTCAAGCTAATAAATTACCCCTAATCCCATATGATCCAACCTTGTGAATTAACCTTTTATGCGGCACCTTATCAAACTCCTTCCGGAAGTCCAAATATATTGTATCTACAGGATCCCCATTATCCACTTTGCTTGTTACATCTTTGGAAAACTCTAGGAAATTAGTCAAACATGATTTGCCCTTCATGAAACCATATAGACCCTGATAGATAGCATTTTGACTTTCCAAATTTCCTGATATTGCTTCTTTGATGATTGATTCTAACACTGCCAACAACAGATGTCAAACCAACTGGTCTGTAATTTCCCCATATATTGCCTCCCTCATTTTTTGAATAAGGGCGTTATATTAGCATTTTTCCAATACACTGGAACCCTCCCTGTGACTGTGTAGGCCATCAGGCCCAGAGGAGTTGACTGCTCTCAATCATAATAGTTTGCTGAGTACCTTTTTCCTATTGATGTTGATTGTACTAAGTTCTGCCCTTTCTATTGCTTCTGACTTGATTCAGTGAACTCTACCTCCAGGCCACCCTTGCCAATTTGAATGGCCAGTATTTGCAGTAGCGATATATTGTTCCTGTGTCAATCTTGGCCAATAACAAATAATTAGCAGTTTTATGAGCACAGGCAATTTGAATTTTTCAAATACAAAGCATTGATACTTTCCACAAAATTGACTGTGAAGCATGTTCACTATTCTATTTCTTATTGTGTACATTGTCAGGCTTTGGTTTGTTAATCACTCCATGGATATGCCTCTGGCAGGATATGAGATGGTTTTTGTTGTAGCTTGAAGTTACTCCATATGTATGGTCTCTTTGGATCAGTATATGGCTTTATGTAACTGCAGCAGCCTTTGCCCTAATACACTCTCTGCCAATGGTCCTTTCTGCCACATACCATCTCTGAGCTGAAGAAGTCTTTTGGGAGTACCTCTGCTCAGCTCAAGGCTGAATTAAGAGCTGAAAGAGAGACAGCAGAAACAGGATGAACTACAAGCTCTGTATCGTTAATCAAATAAAAAAAGATTTAAGTTTACAGGGAGATTGGAATAATGTGTGTAAGCCAGGTGATGTTCAACAGGAGCAGTTATAGAAACATCAGCTTGTCCTGGAAAATGAGGCTGTTTTATGTGTTGGAGTAAAGCAAGCAGACTTGGTGGTGCCCCAGGTTACTGCCATGACCATATATGGAGAGGGGAATATGTCCTTGAAACATCAGAGGAGATGCTGAGGGTAGCCACAGCATTTTCCATCTATGGCACTGGGGATCCCATTGGGGACTGTGACCTTGACCTGGAAAATTGATTGGCTGAATGCCAAAGAACATTCTGGAAGGATGCAACAGGAAGGGATAAGAGGGGAGACCTGGTGGCCATTCCCTCAGTGAAGACTCAACCTGTCCCAATAGCAGAGCTCTGATCACCTGGAGAGAAAGACTGGGTGGGAGACAAGAAAACCACTACGAGACCAACCTTCACCAACTCAGAGCCGACTACACAGCCTGACCAAGTTTAACTGCAGAGTGGCACCTGGTTCTAGTCTAGTAGCCATTAGGAGTTTACATAAGGTTTGTAACAAAAACTTAACTCTGCAATTGACATAGTAATTAATGTAAGAATCAGGAGTTAATTGTGAAAGAGCAGCCTTTCAGATAAAATTCGGTTTGATGGCCCCTTGTGTTTAGTGTATTTTGTGAATAAAATTGTGATAAATTTCAAGTGCACTTTGATTATTTTTATTGTCTCAGGTAAAATGAATTTACATAGAAACTGGTCAAAGTGTTCAAAGTGTGGACAATAGGAGAAAATGGCAGACCTGGCTCAGTGGTTAGCACTGCTGCCTCACAGCACCAGGGATCTGGGTTCGATTCCACCCTCAGGCAACTGAATGTTGAGTTTGCACATTCTCCCCATGTCTGCATGGGTTTCCCTCCGGGTGCTCCAGTTTCCTCCCACAGTCGAAAGATGTGCAGGCTAGGTGGATTGGCCATGCTAAATTGCCCATAGTGTTCAGGGATGTGTAGATCAGGTGGGCTATAGGGGGATGGGTCTGGGTGGGATGCTCTGAGGTTTGGTGTGGACTTGTTAGGCTGAAGGGCCTGTTTCCACACTGTAGGGATTCTATAAAAAAAAAAGCAGTTTAACATCCAGATGTAGGTGGATTTTCCAGGGTGTGCACTGTCCTGAATACCAGCCTCTGAGTTCTCTTACTCAATTTAGGTCAAGTGGGATTCTACTGCTGTCTTGAGTCTGCATACTGGCTTGCCAGCCAGACCCTGAAAAAGATTTTAACCATTTGGCTAAGGCTTGGCTTTGTTTGGGGGTTTTGCTGTGGGCTGACCTAGAGTCCCTCTGTTCAGGATATGTCCTTTGTGAGGCTATGCAATTGCCTTCACTCAAATGATGTTCCCCAAGCTCAGTCAGACTGGTGAGGGTGTCCACTTCCATCAGAATACCCTGTAACTCACATGCTCCACTTGCTGCATTTTCTAATGACAAAACCAGTTGTAGTGCCTATTTGAAGTCCAAGTTGGCTTCAGGTAGTAGGTGCTTTTGCACGGTTACATCATTAATCCCACATAGCAAACGGTCACTCAGCATCTTATGAAAGGTTAAATCAAAGTCACATGTCTCTGCCAGTCGTCTTAACCTAGGAAAAAAGTAATGCATTCTTTCCACACACTGGGCCCAGTCTCCGACAGCAGGATCAAACAAGTCAAGCTTCTCAAATAGCCACATGATGTCAGAAATGCTTATCACAACTCAAAGACGACTGTTGCGAGTGAATTTCTTCAGGAGTGTACTTTTCTCTTGTTGCCTGTAACGGAAGGGGAATTGCTGAAACCCTCTCATAATTAATCGAGAGAGATAGAGAGAGAGCGAGAGAGAGAGGGGCAGAGCTGAGGGTTCTTAACCTGAGCAAATGGTGGTTAGCTCGAGAGTCTCTGTCCAACTGCCCCCTTCTTTGTACCCGTGATGAAATAACAATATTTCTTATGTAGAATTGATTTGTTGTTGTCAACACCATCAGATTTAAATTTAATAGGTTTTTAGTATCTAAGGGCTTGGTTTAAATTGATTGGCTAAATTTGAAAACTGTTGTCTCGGTAAAAAAAATGCTGCTTGGCTGTTCGATACAAAATGTTTCCATTTGGGCACTCTCTGTGTGCACCTGCACTTTGAGCTGCTGGTCAGACATTCATTTTAACTCTAAGCACTGAAAAAACACCATCTTTTAAAGGGGCGATGCATTGTTTTCCCCCATTTTACAATTTTACACACACCAACTGATGTGCTTGGCTGCCCCATCATTAGGGATGGGGATATTTGTGGAGTCTCCTCCTCTGGGGAGTTGTTTAATTGTCCACCACCATTCA